AAAACTTTGTTATTTTTGTACCCTTCGCACACCCTGTACCTCCCAAACCCCCATGCTGACCCTCTCTCTTCCCGTATCCTCCAAACCCCCATGCTGACCCTCTCTCTTCCCGTATCCTCCAAACCCCCATGCTGACCCTCTCTCCTCCTGTATCCCCCAAACCCCCATGTTGGCCCTCCCAGCTGGCCCGGCAGAAGGCGGCTGCCCCCCCTCCCCGCCCAGTGCCGCCCCAGCACTACCAGCCAGTCCAGCCGGTTCAAACCATCCAAGTTGCAGATGTGGCGGCCACCGCCCCGCCCGTTGCCATGGCAGCACGGCAGCCGGTTGCCATGGCACCCCCGGCCGTTAAGAAGCCGCCCCCGCTGCGGTTCGATGTGGAGAAGCCCGTGGTGGCTGCGCCAGTCGCTGCCTCAGCTCCGGTTCAGGTACAGTGGTGTGACTAACAGACTGGCTCTACATATTACTTCTACTCTTGTACTTACTGTACTACTTCTACAGTAACTTCTGCTATTGTTTCTACATACACACTGTTACACATGGGTTTACCAGTTCAGATACAGTGGTGTGACCACTAACAGACTGGCTGTACTATTACAGTAACTATTACTACTGCTGCTGCTGCTACTGTTACATACACACTGGCACAACAATTGTTACACAAGGATTTACTGGTTGAGGTAGTGGTGTGATTATGGACTGGCTCTACATGTACTCCGGGACCCGTAACATGCACACTGGCACAACAACTGTTACATTCCCATATCTTCTTTGCCCGGTTTACTGGGTCAGCTACAGTGGTGTAGCACAAACTGACCAACACATTTCAAACATGCACATAGACTGTAGAACAATAGTGCCTGATAAAGACTCATGTTCACTGTTTCCAGCCCCCAAACCACATGAACATTTTGTACATGACATTGTGTCTGGTTTTACACCAGTTTACATTGTCTGGTTTTGACACAGTACACTGTTCAATCTCTGCATGGATTGTCATCTACTCAAACCAGCTTTACTGCAACTTCCTGCAGCTCTTTTTGCTGTTTCTCTGATGTTCTGCTATACCTTAAGTAGCACGCATCACTCAACAACATTCTGAACACTGGACGTATGTACAGGCTGCAGTACCACACTTGAACACTAGGGGTCTCCAGTGCTCCATAAGGATTTGTGTAGGTACATGATTAATCCCTACACAGCAGTTTTACTTTTACATAACAGTTTTGTGTTGGTATAGTTTGTTTTTCTCAAGGTAAGTGTGTTACAAGTAAGATTGTTGTTTCCACACTCATGTATGTGTGTTATGTTATTGTTTGTATCTAGAGAGTGGCACATGATCATCTACATGTACATAAAATTATGTAAAGTCAACACCCGGGGTGCTTGGCTGCAAATGTGCAACACACATGAACTGTCAACTGTTGTTGGAAAAAGCATTTTGCTCTGTTTTAAGCATTTTGCTTTGACTTTAGACCCGTTTTTTTGTAACCGGTGCAATGGCCAAGTGGGTAGAGCGCTCGCCTTGCATTCGGTAGGTCGTGAGTTCGATCCCCACTGCCAGCCGAGTCATACCAAAGACTTTAAAATGGTACATACGACTTTCTCTGCTTAGCACTCGGCATTTGGGATAGAGTATGGGAGTTAAACACACACCACTACCAGTGGACTAGCCCCTGCTGTAGTGATTGCACAATTGTGTGGCCCAAGGGCTACTGAACGGGAGATGGGCGCTGCCCTATGCACCACCAGGTGCGGGAAGGATTTTTTTAGACCCGCTTTACCGGTACATTTCCCTACACTCATTATACATAACTGCACAATATTGCTTTTAGTTGGCCTGAATCACTCGTACCTAATTTGACCTTCAATAGAAAGGACAGTTTTTATTTCCAAGGGGACCCAGAAAAAACAAATTCAACATAGGCTGATACGGAAGTTAGTTACATAAGAAAAACATTCAGAAGTAAACAAAACTGACTATGATAAGGATAAAAGAATAAAAGAAATATGAATTAACAAAAAAGCGAATTTTGGAAAATGAAATTGATTCAGATCAAACTGCTGGTTCGATGATTACTCATAAATCTGTGCCTGGGTCCTGTCAGGCCAGAATTAGCCGTGATCTCGTGGGACGGCCACATAAAATATTAACCATCATATTCATATGATGTAGGTAATTATGGTCCGGGTCTGCCTATGGTTATTAAAGTGCTGATAGGTACATATTAGTGTAACTACTGCTCTTATCAGGATGTGAAACAAGTGGAAAATTTAATTTTTAGTTACTACTTACTAAATTAGTATCAACTAGATGAAAAGGTAAACATACGTGTACAAAATGTATGTAGGAAATATTTGTCATTTGGCATTTATATAGCAGCTTTTAAAAATAAATGAAATTAAAATTAACATTTTTTCTGAAATTAAAATCAACATCTATAAGCAGAATTTTTGATAACAGCTGCATATATGTACAAACAGGTTTCCTGTAAAAAAACACAAAGTGAAATTAATGATATGCCATATTACATGTTTGTAGTTCGATGGAAATTTTTTTTGTACATGAATATCACATGAATATTTATCTGTAAACATGGCTGAGTGAGGTTAGGTCATGCTGCCTTTGCCTGATCTGTCATGGAACCAACACATTAGATTATAGAAGATAGATCATAGAATTTTTCATAATAGCTGCATATATCTATATAAGGCCACACCAATTTAATTTCTTGGTTAACGGATTCGCCGCTTCATTTTTTTCTGATTTGCAAATAAAAATAAAAATTCAGAATCAACTGCAAAATGATAATATTTTGCCCTGAACAGTTGAAAACAGTCCTTTTCATCGTAGTTGTTACAGTTATTCCATCTTTCAATGCAGTGGCATCATTAAAAGTTCAAAATTCATTGTTTAAATTTTGAACCACCCTGGTGTGTTGATTTCATGGCTCCTATGGTACCATTTTGGGCCATAATACGATGCCAAGGCCTGTTTTTATTTTTATTTTTTTTTCGCCCGCCCGCTCCATTATTTTTCTAGGAAAATCCGTTAACCAAGAAATTAAATTGGTGTGGCCTAAAGGTTTTCTTTAATTTAAAAAAAGTGCTTATTTCTGTGCAGTTTGGGTCATGCTGCCTTCCATTGAACCTACACAGCCCATAGATTATAGAGAATAGATCATAGAATTTTTTATAATAGCTGCATATATGTACAAATAGGTTTTCTTTTTAAAAAGCTCTTCTTTCAGTCAGGTTTGGGTCATGCTGCCTGTCATTGAACCAACACAGCCCATAGATTAATGTCAGATGTTCGCAGGCTCCATAATTAGCTCAGGACTCCAGTCAAACAGCCCCAGAACGGGACAATACCGGCTCAATGCCGCTCGGCTGGGAAAGTCGTGGACTGACAGCTCCTATTAAGATGCTGCCGTGATGAAGCTGGTTAGGCCACAGCAAGTAATTTTTATGGATGACATCCTCCGCAGATTACAAAACAACTGCGAGCGGGTGAAAAAAAAAAAAACAAGGACGGGCCAACAAAAACAAGGTTCCCACATTTAAAGTTTTGACTCAATCATTGTACAAAGGTTTTTGATTCAGAGGGAACATCACATATACACAGCCAGCATCACATATCACACACACTGCATCAAAGTAAGAAACAAAACATCAGAAATCAGAGCCTTTTCTAGTCTCTTCATAGTTATCTGCCATCCACCTTCCGGCATCTTTGCCCATTTTCGGCATTGTTACCACTGTCAGAAGGCAACAAAAGTTTTTTTTTTCCTCCAAAATCAGGCGAAAATTAATGCGCGCGCTGATGTCATCCATAAAAATTACTTGCTGTGGCCTTAGGCGAGATGTGGGGTTATCTTTTGTGTGCGCTGTGTGCTGCGCCGTGCACCCTTCACTTCTGCCAACTTTTCAATTAAGCCCGCACAGATTTCATTAGTTGGTTCCCGGCTTTAGAAATGATGAACTGGAAAATAGACACAAAGAGGAGTGTTTGGATAATGTTTGTACCTCAGTACACTGAATTATTAGGTACTAATACTAGATTTTTTGACAGTGCTCCTTAGTTTTGCTACTGTGTATATATCCTGTAGATGTAATGAGTTGATGGCTTTGATTTTAATGCCATCCTTATCTTATGTTACAGTAGCTTGTTGCCCTTTAAAATAGTCTTGTAACTATTTGGGCAACCCTGGCTGTCTTTTGTACAGCCGAACCAAATAGAATAAAATAAAATTAACTACCGGTAATACTAGATTCTTGTGTGTTGGAGATGAGTGTAGATGGAATTGCCCTTCAGTACTTGCTAGAGTTCATTCTGGCATGTTTCTGTTTGGCCACACATGCTGCAGTTCCAATTGTTTGGTGTGCACTAATTATCATAAATTTGCATAGTGAGTATGTAAAAGGCTATTACAGCAGTGGAATTGGAATGGGTGATGTTATCTAATATCATTTTCAGCCAGCCTTAGGGACAACATGCAAATTTACACTGTTTATCTTCCCAATGAATAAGGTGTGGGGATTGGAAAATGGGTTCATAAGGACAGACTGTGGCATTAGGCTCTTGCTTGCAGTTAATTGTTAGCAAGTTCTTCTGTTTCTTCTGGTAAAGATAATGAGTTATCACTCACGTTTGGAAAGAATGTTGATATATTTATGAATGGTAATGGAATGGTGCGGTATTTGTAATAATAATAATAACTTTATTAAGCAACAGTTGTACAGGGTACAAAGTATGGCATCTAATATTACATGATTGTGTTGGACCTAGGAGTGATGGTAGTGGTGTGGTTTTGATGTTTGTATATGGATGTGTCAGAACTAGGAATGTGGTCAATGATAGAGAGGTTGTATTTATGTTTGTACATAATATTAGACCTAGGAGTGTGGTATTATGTTTGTCAGAACTAGGAGGGTTAATAGCTATATTGGTGTGGTTTTTATGTTTATATGTGTCAGTGTATATAGGAGTGTGGATCATGTTAGTGGTGTTTTAATTACAGATACTGTTCGTTTTCAGAACTACTGTAGGAGTGTTGATTATATGGGGTGGTGTTTATGTTTGTTAGAACTAGGCGTGTTGATTATGTGGGGTGGTATTTATGTTTGTCAGAACTACTGTAGGAGTGTTGATTATATGGGGTGGCATTTATGTCTGCATGTGTCAGGACTAGTGGTGTGGTATTTTTGTTTGTCAGAACCAGTAGTAATAATAGTGGTGTGGTACATATATTTATGTTTATATGTGTCAGAACTAGGAGTGTAGATAATGATAGTGGGGTATTTACAGATACTGTATGTTTTTCAGAACTGTAGGAGTGTTGAGTATGTGGGGACTCCGAGGTATTTATGTTTGTACATGATGTCAGAACTAGGCGTGTGGATAGCCGTGTGGTTTTTATGTTTGTAC